GCTGCTGCAGGCCACGCTGTCGGCGGTGGAGAAGGAGCTGCTGCTGCGCCAGCAGGCCATGGAGATGCACAAGCGCAAGGCCATCGAGTCCGCGCAGTCCGCCGCAGACCTCAAGCTGCATCTCGGTTACTGACACTCTACACTTCTATACTTAGTCTGCACATAAATACTGTTACAATTCAAAATTAACAAAAGCACCTGGAATCTGTCATTTTTATATTACTGTGATTGATGAACAAAAAAATTTTCTATATGTCAATATTTATGGCAACTTGGGGATAAATAAATTGTAAAAAACGACATGCGGGAAAGGGACAAAAACTACAAGAGAATAGTAAAAAGGTGTTCGTTGTCATTTGTTCATTGAATTTTATAAATGTAAACAAATTAAGTTTTTTACACATTCATGCGGATGAAGCTGCATGGGAACTGTTAGTATCAATACTTAGGAATTTGATCATGTCATCATTTACGTTATTTTTCTGCTGGAATTTCATTTTTCATTTAACGGTAAAATCAATAATCTTCTATGTAAAGATACGCACTTTTTTTCTCGATCGCTAGTTTTAATAATAATTGGAGAAAAACAGGGATGTTCTTATATTGTGTTTTTAAACATATATTTAACGATTTAATCGCACTGTCACAGAGAAGTACCACGCGCAGATGAAGGAGGCGCAGCAGGTGGTCGCGGAGAAGACGAGTGCGCTCGAGGCGGAAGCGTACAAAACAAAAAGATTACATGTGAGTGAGACATCAATCATACAATAAAAACATAGAAATAAACTCCTCAAATTAGCTTTTTTACTTCGGCCGTTCGGACTTAAAATTGTAAAGATCCGTTAAATATGAAAAGCCGTTTTAATAAAGTAGAAAGTATATAACATCCATTAATCTAAGGTCTAATCTTTCTCTTTTAATCATCATCATCAACTTGCTCTTGTCCCTACGGAGGGTCGGCACAGTATGTGCTGCTTTTCCATACAATTCTATAAGCCGTCATATCTGAATCTACCTCCTTCTTAAGAATATCCTTTTCACACAATCCATACATACTTTCATAATTTTCTGGTTTATGTCCCCATCCTCTCATCATTAAAAAAAAATGGTCCATACTTTCTCATTTAATAAATAACATAAATTAAAATGTAAGAATTTAGTACAAATAGCATGGTATGCAGGAGGAGCTGGCGATCCTGCGGCGCAAGGCGGAGCGCATGAAGAAGATGGAGCAGGCCGGCAGCAGCATGGACGAGGTGCTGCTGGAGGAGATCCGCGACTACAAGGAGACCCTCACCTGCCCCTCCTGCAAGGTATTGCCCTGCCACATTCTCTTTAAACTAAATAGATGTAGCAAATAAAAAGCTTTTTATCGAAATATTAACATCAATCGTGTCGAAAATCTTTAGATTCTACTAAAAATCATGGAAATCTTGTTAGATATTCGCAATAAAAAACATTCAAGAAATGCTGCAAAAAGTTTGTGCACTAAAATGTATCTATAGCTTTTGCGCGTGATTTTGTTCGCGCGAAATTAAATAAAACTTAGTAAGTAGTATGCTTTAATTTACCCTATGATCTAAATCTGCCAAATTTCATAGAGATCCATTTCGCCGTTTTCGAGATACCTTCTAAAAATTCGCTTATAATTTCAGTAAAATTGTATTTAATTTGATGTATCAGGTGAAACGCAAGGACGCGGTGTTGACGAAGTGCTTCCACGTGTTCTGCTGGGACTGCCTGCGCACGCGCTACGAGACGCGCCAGAGGAAGTGCCCCAAGTGCAACGCGGCCTTCGGCGCCAACGACTACCACCGCCTCTACCTCTCCACCTAGGCACCACTGCCTGTGACCTGCTGGAAGCAGCCCGCCACACACCCTCGGTTCTGACAGTTGAACATAAGAACTGTGCGTGTACACAATACTTTAACTGTTACTGGCAAAACTTAATTTAATTTACAGTCAACTTTATTTATCAAATTTTTATCTGACAGATAAAATAAACGGTAAAATTTTTATGCCTTTAACTTTAACTGTCAGATAAAACATTATCTTTCAGTTAAAGTTTTATCAGTTATAGTTTGCCAGTTAACTTTAAGTTAACCTATACACACTGTTAACTGAACAGTTCGATTCTTCGGTTAAAACTGTCGGTACTGTAAGTTTGTGCGTCTATGTATCTGAGGATGAAGTTTAATTTATATGCCTGAATGTCTCTCTTCTGTGCCTTGAAATGCGAACCAAATGTATGGAGATAATTAAATAAATCACTTCTCTGTCAGCTCTATAGATAACCGCGACAAAGTATACGTCCTTTCAAATATCTTGTCGGCTCAAGGCTAAAATGTTCCGAGCCCTCAAGATGTTTGAATACCTCTATACAAAATATGCCTTCATGTTTTAAGCTATGTACATAACGCCCGGTTTCGTTTATACATTGTTGTATATATTTGATTTGCGAGATAATTGTAAACAAGGCGAATATTTGCTATGATCTCACAGCATTAGCTACTTTTTATTTAATACCTGAGCGAGTTAGTGTATTTAAAAAGCAGTATTGAACAAAAATCATTAATTTTTAATAGTGTCCTTGTCGGAAAGTGAGTGGTTTTATTATTTTCAACCTTTTAAAAAGAACTTTATAAAGTTTAAGAACTTGTCCCACCAAATCGTAAATTGTCTGATAACAATCTAACGTGTAAAATATGTGATGGAAATATCGGCTTTTGTAATCTTTTCTGACAGTGACGTCAATTTCAAGCTATCTGAGCGTCTATCAGCCAGTGGTGGGACAGGCCCTAAAACTCGTTAAGACGATTAATAAAAGATAAAAATCTACGTTTTAAGTATTTTAGACAATTACATAATTCGTCTCGTTTAGTAAGTATAAAATATACATGTGCAAATACATATTATATCTTACTATAATAAATTCGAAATCTTAGTAAAATTCATAAATACGCCTCTTGATACTGAATTCAGAAGAGTTGCGTTTAGAATTCAATTGAAATGAGAAATTTGTAAATATCTAAATAATTTTACCATTAAAATGACAGGTTTTTTACTTTATTGGTTATGTTTCAAAATATATCCATAGACAATAAAATTGGCGGCAAATGGGTTAATTAAATTTGTCATTTCAATTGAATTTATTATAATTGTACTGAATGAATGCATTAATGATGTATGTCAGTTGTTTTTCTCAGCCTTTAAATATTTTGCGATTTCAAGTTGATTTTAATATGTTATTAGAAGCGCCATGTTTAATATTTAGACTTACGCATCCGTAGGACGGTTGATGATTCATTCCTTATTGTAAAGCTTTCCATGTATTTAATTATGAATTAAACAATACAATCATTGTAGGAATATTTAAATGCATTTTGCATACGGCTTGTGAATTGTATATTATGATTTTTTTATTTTATCATGAGGTGTAACGAGCCCTTTAAGAACGTGTTTTGGTGTAAAATAATTTATAAATTCGGTTAAGTTGGTGTTTGATGTTTGGTGTTCATTGTAAGACGTGTAATAACATGTTTCCTAGTGGACACGGTTATGTTGAGCAACAGTCAGTGTTAGTAACATAGATAGCTAAATAAATCACAACTGTAATTGACTGATACTTATATTTAGTTTAAGCACATTTTTTCTTCGTCAATTTATACGAGGAACTTTATTTGAAGCTAGATCTTTGTATTGTTAATTTTTTTCTTTTTCCATATTTCGAAATTTAGACGGACAGCAATTTTATTTAAAACTGCATGTCTTAAGTTCAACTTTAATATTCTATCACTTTTTTTAACTGTAATTTTTTAACTTTACAAGTTTTGGAGAAAAAGCAGTTTTTTTTACTTCTAACTGCAAATTAAAAGTCTCAATTTTTAATATGTAAAATTTTTGGTTTAGCTTTATATTTATGAAACAATCAATTTTAATGTAAAATGGAAGTTTTAGTTCGAATTTAATTTTGTAGTTATTTTGTAATTATTGTTAAGCTTGACCATTGGTATTCGTACGGTAAGAGTATATAAGCATTCTTGCGGAGATCGCGCGAGACCGCGACCATAACGATATGAAAAACTTTTTTCTAATACATTTTTTATTCATCAAATATATTTGGTCTGAAATGTATTCTCATAAATAGGAAACTTGTAGTAAATTTAATAATGCATTCAATTTTGATACATCCAATCTGTAAACTGGATCTAAAGTTTAAGATTAATTCATGTGGAATAAAACGTCTCAAAGAAATAACCTCTTTTATTTAATCCTAAACCTGAAATTCTAGTGTCTTAGGGCCTGTTTACATTATTCCAGTCCAGTGATTGATATCAGAGGATTAAAACTGGAGATATGTAAAACCACTTAATACGCACTGTGTTGACTATGATCACTGGAGGGGAGTAATATAAACTGGTTATAGATAACAGGGAATGTGCATGTGCTTTATTTAAACGTTTATTAGGCTAAAAAAAACGCGATTTTAGTGCGACCTGAATATGCGGGAGTGATGTGACGTCGTCAGATAAAATATTTGAATGGTTCTCTGAGTTATCAAGTCATGCTACGCCCTATAGCATTGCTCAATCTTTGTAAGTTTTTGTAGTAATGTCATACAAAAAATTCGGCATTATATGCATATTGCTTCTTGTATTTAGCATATAGTCTTTGTTTTTTCAAATAGAACTTTTGTTAAAATACAAATGACTCTTGGGTGGGTTTGCTTGGGCTCAGTTAAAACAAGGCAGTTAAAAATTACTAATGACACCAACTTGTTAAATGTATATATTTTATTTACATTCTTTACACATCATATAATTTGACAATTTTAATTCAATTCACGGAAGTCACTTAATTTAACTTATTGTATCTGGCAATTAATTCTACTTAATGTTTATTTTTTATTTAACATACAACTTGTAGTGAGCTTAGCACCTGAAAGCAAGCGACATGGATGGAACGATTTTTACAAGATTTTGTACTGCTACATATATTATGGATATTGTAATAAACATTTAAACAGCATAAGATATTTTTCATAGTTTAAGTAATTTATTCCAACTTTTTGAAGGCTTATTATGTATAATTTAGAATGAATTTTTATAATGCCTCACGATTCAAATATTTTAGATCTAACCCTAATACAAACAGAGTACAATTTTAAATGCAAGCTTTTGAAAGAAAACACAAAATTCCTAATCAAAAAGCCACGTATAACTGACGTCAGTCTTATTTTGAATATATAATTTTAGTAAAAAAACAATATTTAACAAAATATAAATGTTGCGTTTACCTAGATTAAAAATAAATTTAAAGAAGGTAACTCTGCTGTTGAATCGAATAATTAACTTTAGTATCGATTATCTTGTAAAGAAATTTATGCATTTCATTTTTATCGAATAATAAATGACTAGATCAAAAAATTATATTTCGATTAGTATTCAGGTTTACTATCGATTTTTTTTCTGTGATATTTCAATATTTATAAAATGAAAACATTATTGCAGCGGAAAAATTATGCACAAAAAGGTCTAATGGCACTTAGAAAAGTAATTATAGAAATTATGTTTTTAAAATTACACTGATTTAGTTTGGTACGAGAAATTATCAAACGCATATGTCATGGGTATTGTGTTTTGATCACAATTATTCACGGAAAAATACATAATTGTACAAAAAAACCACATTTATATTTTACATGATAAGGTTACTGCACATTGCGAGTTAAATATAAATACATTATGTACAAAAGCTTGTATTTTTATCTGACGCTTCGTCTACAACTATACAAAAATAATATTGCAAGTTAGTTGGTTTGAAATGCCACACGGAATGGAAAAATTATTAAGTCTTATAATAAGTATTTAGAAATACAATAAAATTGTCACACAAAAGAAAATCCAATTTTTGTCACCGCCCAGCGGGAGAACATTAATTTATTTTAAATTAATATATTACGGTTTTTATAACCACTTTTTAGGATACCCAGGAATATTAAAATCCTGTTTTTGGGTGTTTTGTAATTCTGACAAAGAAATTAGTTACCGCTTTTTCCGCAATATCGTATCTTACATATTTCTTCTCATGCTATATAAACAATTTTGTCATTTATAGCTACTTTTCTTTTTCCTAGTAATTTGAAGAACACTCAACTTTTTAATTATCTTTACTAATAAAGTTATTTTTCTCTACAATATTCTAATAATGTGAAAACACGTCCCTTATTTTTTATTACGTATTTTTAGGAAAAGATATTTTCTATATCTCGGGACGGACGCATATTTACAAGCAAAAAAATTGTCTTGATTGTACAATGAAATTTGGGTAGACAGATCTAAAGGATTTTTTACTTTTATTTTATCCTCACTATATTACTACTGTATGAATTAAGAATGAATATATTATGAAATAAACAATGTTTTATTTAGCGTATTAAAATGTTATCAAAAATATGTTTCGGAGTATATTTGTTAAAGCTGCAATAATTTGGCAAAATTTCGCATCGAATGATAGCGTCTGTATGGTAAATAAGAAGTTGTGTAAATGCCACCACTAGATGGCGTTATAAGCAAATATCGTCGTTAATTGTATTTCTGCAAAATAAAGTAAATGTTGCAAAAGCAACGTAATACAAGCGCGTAACTAAAGAGTAAATAACAAAATTGTGTTAAACATCTGAGCTTTTATGAAGAATAACACCAAATCACATTTATACAATTCAAATATCATTAAGATATCTCCCATTCTGCAAATGAAATAAATAAGACGTATGGCAACATTCATCGACACATCGATATTTTCTTGGCAACATTACCGAGATTTACTTAACTATATGTTTTATTATCTTAAATCTAGGTTTAATAATTTTATCCTTACTAATTAAAATTTAATTAGGCAATTCATCAAAAATATTTAGTTTACGCTACATGACTCGGTACCGGAATATTGCGGGACAGACAAAATTGTCGTTTATCAATTCCATCGCATATAATTCAATAAACATTTAGTCCTATTTCTATATATCTATAAATCGCCATGGTCCAAATTCGACCATCATTTAATCAAATATTAGATTAAAAATATATTCACGCATTTACTTTAATTTTAATCACGTTTCATTCGCACGATCCTTTTCACATAATTTAGTTTGACACTTGAGTAACCGTTGGGCGAGGTGGAAAACCGCCCTGGGCGACGGTAAAGGGCTACACACGCCCATTTCTCATATCGACGGGTGAAAGGCTATTTGTTTTATGATATTGTCTTATATATATTCAGAATCAGCTAATTTTTCTGCGTCGTTTGAACTGAGTTTCATAAAGATCAGAGCTCTTTTGTGACGCTTGAAACAATCAAAATGTAGGTGTGATTGAAGTAAGTATGCAGAATTGTATTTTAATCTAGAACCTGTCTTCAATCTTTTAATTAAAATTATTTCCAGGAATTTCCTGTATTAAAAAAAACTGAAACCTTTAAATGGCCTGAACATTTGACTAATGTCTTAAAACAAATAGCCTTTCACCCATCCATATTATTCTCGTAAAAATCTCGGTCAGGATACTAAAACCGG